CCCCACAAGTGACAGCAGAGCGACGAGTCCGAGTATTTCTTACATTTAATTTGCACGGCGACATTGCGTTTATACTGCACAACCTGCATGCCACAAATGTTGCGTTATCAGACAACTGCTGGCAAACTTCTTGGTGGTAACGAAAGCGAAAGTAGATCTTGATTTTCTCCATCGAGCCTCGGTGTCACATACGCTTCCGCCATAGCTGCCTATTCGCGTGAAAGTGAAACGTACTCTCCGCACGGGGAAAAGCTGAATGAATATACGATCGCGACCGGCAAAATTTAACTTACTGACCACATCGGACTTGGTTTTCAAATACTCCAGTTCTGCGATACTGATACTATTTTGACAAAAGAAGGGACTTGAGATAATTAGGTTTACCCGCCCAAGCTGAATCTCGTATTTTTCGCATTCCAGGATGCATATTTTTTCATGAAAAGTTGTATTCGTGTATTTTCGGCCAAAAATCGTACTAAAATACGTAAAATCGTACTGGTTGGCATCTCCGTCTCTCGCTCAAGCGGCAGTGTACCAAGCAGTATGCCACTCGCGAGTAACGAGCGTGCTTGATAAAGCACTAGCATAAACCTACAAAATCTTTTAACCCATTCTCTTAGAAATAAATTCCACAAGAAAATACTTACTGGCTTAAGAGGAGCTAAGATTTCCTTGTTGGAAGCACAATGAGTGATTATGCCAACCAGGGTTTTTGACACTTGGGAGAACTGTTTCTGTAAGACAGCAACAGGGACCCTAAAAGAACAAAACATGTGAAAGTTAGAAAGAAAAAAGAAATAAACCACCACCAGGCACCAATCCATCTTCCCCTCCCCAAACACACTGAAAAGTTTTACCGTAAGATATGAAGAAAGTTTATGAAAGTTGTAGCTATGCAAACTTAGAGAATGCCATCAAAGGATGTTTTTTTCAAGTAATATGTTATATAAATATATGTGAGGCAGCGTGGTGAAATCAGGCGCTCGTCAAAATAATGAAACTGAAGAAACTGGCATTTTCCCGCAGGTCTGGGAATTTTTATCGACTTTTTATTTTTTGGTTCAACACCAATCATGCCTATTATAGAACACATTTCTGTGGGGATTTTACTGAAAAACAATGATTAAAGGAATAAAAGATGTAAGTTTTAGGTTTCCAGGGACTCTCAAGCCTGGGAAAAAACTAAACTTTGGCAGGTATTTTCTCGATAATTTTACTCTGAAACCAGGTGATCCCAACCTCCTTCAATCACCAATATCTTGACTTGTTTCCAAGATAACTGGATATTTTTTCAGCAAAACCAAGACAAATGGACAGACTTTAAGATGATACCAATAACTCCATATGCCGAAAAATTTACGAGCGCCTGATTCCACCACGTTGTGACACATTTGTTACAGACACCATGATGACTGACCTGACCTGACCATCAATGATTTATTTATAGAGGCACCAGCCATCCATGTCCAGGTGCTGTTTTAGCCTCTTTTTTGTCATCACAACGATGAAAAAGACACAGAATCGCCAAACACAGCAACCTTTGCCATGGAAGACTATTTCTTTGAGCTTGATAATGAAAAACCTAACGTCATTAACAATAAATGTGTACAAGCTTGGAGAAAGATATAATTTTAACAACACTCATCTTACATAATAACAAAGACTGCGGGGGAACATATGCTGTCACTGATGACTGAATCATGAGAGCAAACCTCCATCATATTGCACACCAAAATTTAGGTCAGGTTGTGACCTATCTCGATCAGCATGAGTTTAACAAAACAGTAAAGGATGGCAGGTTTTGCACATTTGCACCCTGTTCCAGTTCATGAGCAAAGCAAAGTCACTTTTAAATTTCTAGCATTGTTATTTACGATGATTCCTTCGACTCATTCATAAAAATCAACCCCTTCAAATCACATAATATGAAAATTAGGTCAGCCTGTGTGCTTTCTCATAGTACTTAGTGCGCACGAATACATTGACTATTGACACTGTAAAGGAAGGGAGACTTTGCTCATACATGTACCCTCCCACACTTAGTATTTTGTGAAATTTCCAGTTCTATTTAAATGTGAATTTGCTCTCAAACGTTGTAACGACACTTTTCGAGAAGTGACAGTGTTGTTAAGGGTTTTGGAGGCTAACAACACGGCCGGCTGAAAGATCCATATTCACATCGAGTAAAACTCGATCCAGATCTAAGGGAAACTGTAAACCCATTTTTTTCAAAACTTTGTTTCCGCACTCTATCTGACAATATAAATCAGATCTCACAAAAACACTGAAGCTATCTTTTTAAAAAAAACAAGTGGTTCAGAAATGATTTTTGTACCAAAAAATGCAATAATATGCAATTACACGAAATGCACCATAAGGTACCTTTCACCAGACACACACACACAAATGAAAATATGTAGAGCTACAACACATTTATTCAGTGCATTGTCATGCCAGTCTTACTTTTTTATGACAATGCTCAGAAGATGAGCCATGGCTGTCATTGTCTCTGTTTTTTCTGCCTCCTGTAAACTTGAGACCTGCATAGTGAAGGGGAAAAAAAGTTTTCCATAACTGAGAAACCTATTCTAGCTCAGTCAAGCGCATAAAAGATACATATTAAGGACAGTATAATCATTTCTCCAGAGAGGTTCCTGGGGCCCTGTTTGGGAGACAGGGGAGCAAAGAATAGGACCAATGTATCTGTACTGTGTCTGTCATAGAAGGAAACTAAGGTCCGTTGGAATTTTTAAGGTAGAGCGATAGTGAGAAGGACGATTGATGTGTTATAGGAAAGAAGGAGCAAACCAAACCAGAGCACCCGCCAACCATCCACTGATAAAAGCAGTCGAAAAAACTTTCTTTTAAAAAGCTGGATTTATTAACACCTCATAGAGAGTGAAAAAAAATAGCTCTGTGCGTGGATCAAACATACTGAACTAAACATATTTCAGTTCAAAAGACATTATCCCGTTTGAACATTTCTAAATTGACTAAACAAGAAAGGCACTAAATCCGATTTAAAAACAAAGGAACTCAATAACAAAACAATAGAACAGCAGACCCCACAAAAGCACAAACTGTCCCACCCAAATTCATGTGCTTAATAGAGTGAAACCAAAACTTTTGAAAAAAAAAGTGGTTTTTTTATAGTAGAGGTTTTACGCCGCCCGCAACTGCATAAGGTCATATGAGCGCCAAGGGTGGATGTCAACAGAGAAATCTTTACAGGGAATCGGGCTTACTCTGCTCACCTCTCTAGCTTCAACAGCACAAAGTCTGCTTCGACTATCAAGGCACCCCGCAAATAGCGGGTCACAAGAGTGTGACAAACATACAAAAGAAGAGGAGGAAAATGACGATAGTAAGGACTAGGAAAGAAAAAGCAGCAGTTCCCTGTTGTAGTTCAGGCACAGTTATGAGCGTGACATTGTTGAATCAGCCCATTTACAATTCTACTGTGCATAAGAACGAAAAAATGTCCCCCCTTTCGGAATGGCGTAAAGGAAGCTGAGAATGTTTCGGAGTGTTCTATGGTCTGCAGGGGTAATAATATAGTGTAAAGCGCATAGAGCCTGCTGTTGAGCGGGGACATGTGCTATACAAATGCTATTTATCATTATTATTAAAGACATTTCAGTCAGTGGCATCGCCCAGGGGGGTGTACTCCCGTAAAAATATATATTTATACACATGATGTTACAGTGTAAAGATTACATAAAATATTTCTCTGGTAGAGAGTAAATGATTCTGTAGGTCATCATACTTACCAATACAGCAAAATACTGCACATCACTCCCTTGTCCCCCTTTTTCTTTAATGACTTCAGTGATGGCAGCCAAAACAGCCAAGATCTAAAAATTAAAAGTGGCACTTTGTGTCAGTACAGATTATACATAGACATAGCTATGGGATAAACCAGAAACATATATTGCACAAAATGAAAAGGTCAAAACATATACAGTACAAAACAAACATAACAAAAAACATTAGAATAAAGAACAACGGAATACTATTAACATGATTTTTATATTGGATTAAAAAATGAATGGACAACTGATTGCAACATTCACAGTTCACTCAAATTTGATCTAAATAAATACTCCACTAATTTCTTTTTCATGACCTGATCATTATGGTCATGATAATGTTCAAATTGCACAAAATTTTTAAAATTCAAAACCTATATTTTTAAAATTATGAAGCTACTTTGTTTGAGTAAAGAGAAGCACATTGACACAAAATGGTCACTTAGTGCTGGGACAGACAGACAGAAACAACAGAGGGAAAGCAAAGAAGTACGACCTATTAGTGGCGCCCCCCAACCACCCACTAAATGAGCTACTGGATTAGCAAACATCACCAAGTTGACATAACCAGAGATAAATTATAAGTCAAATACAGAAGGAAAATCAAAAGTAAAAGTTATTTTCACACATATGTTCTTTTTTTTTTTGTCCCTTGCCCATTTCTATATTGACACCATCTGATTAATAGAAAAATGTGCATACGATAGTGTCCAATAGTGAATTATGTATAATTGTTATAACATGTAACTGTTATGTTCAAGATAATTATAGATGTTTGAGAAGGATCTGAGAGCAATGATGATTTTAGAAGTGAACGGTGGTGGTGGCGGTAAGAGATGAGGTGGGATGGTGTTTATGAATATAATTATTAAGAAGACATGCTCTGTTAGTTTGGGGTTTTTTTAAAGTTAGCATTAGTCCTATCTTCCTCTGCCCTGACAAAAGGGATGTGGGCACCCACTATCCCGTTCCCTACCGGAACAATCTTTAATGTCACTGTGAAGTTCCAAAATGGTGGGCACAGACTCTGCTAAGGTGACCTTGTTAGTATCAGCCTATTCTAGCTGGCCAAGACAAGTGAAGAGAGGACCTTAGCAGGCAGACAGTACAGTGGCAGATATGTTGAGGATTTCGTAAGGGGTTGTAGGTAGCAAGTTGACAAACCACGTTATAGACTTAATAATATACAGTACTCATACTCTACTCCCTGACCAATAACCCCATTTATTCCTTTCGAGTCTTATTTAAACATGAAGTTGCGGAGATTCCGACACAGGATCCTCGAACCCCAGTCGAGAAGGAACAATTTACACACAATAAGTTATTGTATCACCTCGCCTCAGGGGGAACGGTTTTCACATAGGCATATATATATATCTGTTTATATCGAAAACTTGCCATGTAAAAAGTCCAAACAGACTAATGTTTATGTTAATGTTAATATTTAGAGTTGATATGAGAACTACCAAGTGATTTTCCAGGCACTTCCAAATTTCAGTATTGGAAACAACTGTAGCCCAACAGCTGAACAATAGTCAACAGGAAGACAACAGAGGAGAAGGACAAAACTTAAATCTGAATGATACATTACCTCTTTCTGCATCAAAGAGTTTGAGTTAATGTATCTGTGCACTCGGTTAAAAGTCACATTTGTACATCCAGTCATGTTGGTTGCCCAGGTGTTAAATGTCTTGTGGCCAACAGACGTTGCATCGTCCTGATCAAGCCCAGCTTCAGTAAAACCGCCCATGGCTTCATTGTGTTTCTCAAGGGCTTCAAGAGTCAAACCACCTTGCTGATCTGAAACATAATTTTAGAGTACAGACCACATTACCGTGAGTCTACACAACATAACATATCATAAAGTCCTAAAGTTCACACAACATTTAAAAAATCTCAAGTTTAAGATTTCTTGTTAATTATTTATTACAGTGGTCCAAGATCTATACTTTTAACCACAAGATGATTAACATGTTAACAACAACAAAAGCACATTACATCCGAGCTAAAACACTTCAGGAAAGAGACCTCTTCAACAAATGTTCCTGTTCTTGTCTGAAGTAGGCCTATAGATGTCAAAAGAGTTGTTTTGAGACCTCTTCTTTAATCTTTTGAGAAGACAAATTCTGCATGTGTTTGTTACTCTCTTGTAACACTAACACCTCTAAATCTTCGGCACTTATATGAACTTATTGAGTTGCAAGTGCTAACTCTTTCCAAAACAAAAGATAGTTTTAGGTATGAACAGGGCGCTTTGGCGGCAATCGTAAGTGTATGCGCGGTACCGAAGCTCAATCTACTATCGCTTTCTTTACCACCCAGAAATTTGCCAGTAGCAGTCTGATTAACGCAACATTTGTAACATACAGGTTGTGCTTTACAAACGCTGTGTTGCCATGAAAATAAATCATTGTCCTGTGCTTTCACTTGCGGAAAAAAAAAGTTATGCAAGCGTCTTGTCGGGCTCGACATCATGACCGGTCAGTGAACATGTACCTTCGCATCACATTGTGAGTACCAGTGATCGTTGGGGTCACCAAAGTTCATTCAAAGTGTGCGCTGCGCGAAGTATATGGGGCTCCAGAATGGGGGAATTATTGGGTTTTTTAAAAGGTACTGTGGGGGGGGGGGGGGGGAAGGCAACATCGGATGACAAAAACTGAACTTGGAAGCAAATTTTAGTATTTAGAACTTTGATTATTATTAGAGTTTCCTGCTAGTGCTACGGAAAAGCGTGCATTGGTGCAAGCCCTGTACGGAATTGGGATCCGTCATACTCACACCTAGTAAGCCGTGTTTTTTAACCAAAAGGCCCGCGTTTCATTGGATGGGTGATAGTCAAGGATCTCCTTGGTGATAGTGCGTTTGTTTCATTGTCCTTTGTTTTAAGAGAGGTATGACCTCATCAAGTGCATACTTTTTTATTCTTTCTCTCTCTCTTCCTCTCTCTGTTTTCTGAGTCTCGTTCTCTCTCTCTCCTCGTGATAGTATTACATGTTTTGTAAACATCTATATTTTAGCTTTCTGTTCCAGATTCGCAGATTTTCAGTGTCACTGCATGTTGCTCTCCCTTAGGAAAGATGACAGGGGGTAGATTGGGATCATTTTTGGGATTACATTCCACCCGCTCACAACACACAAAAATAGCAAAGCTGTTACAGTGCACCTAGCCCAAGCGCCCCCTCCCCTACGAAACAAAATACCCGCTTACCGTGTACATAGATATTGACGCTACGTGCTCGGTTACCATGTATGTGACATTGAGACTACACGTCCGGTTACCGTGTACGTAGATATTGAGGCTACGTGCCCGGTTACCGTGTGAGTGACATTGAGACCACACGGTGAAAAAGCAAAAAGGTCAACGTTTTGAAGGGAGCACAGCAGTTACCGTGCACCTAGCTCAAGCCCCCCCCCCTCGAAACTAAATACCCGGTTATCGTGGTCGTAGATAATGAGAGGCGCCCAGATGCCGGTCACTGTGTATGTAGATATTGAGGCTACGCACCCGATTACCGCGTGTGTGACATTGAGATTACACGGTGAAAAAGGAAAAAAGTCAATGCCATGAAGGGAGCTAAGCAGTTACCGTGCGTGCACCTAGCTCAAGCGGAAGCCCCCTTCCGCACACCCCCCCCCACACACACACCCTGAAACTAAGTATACGGTTACCGTGTACGTATATATTGAGGCCACGCGCACAGTTACCGTGTATGCAGACCTGCCACTCATCCCGATTTAGTCGGGATATCCCGATTTTTTGCTCCAAATCTCAAGCATCCCGATTTTTTGTCCCAGTCTGCTGTTGTATCGGATTTTTATTAAAACGTACTCTGCCTTCTCCTTTATCGCGGGAAGCACCCGTTGAACTTTTTGTCAGTAGGAACTCAGAGCACTATTTCCCGAAATATCGATGCCGCAATTAGTAGTTGACTCGCCCTAAGTTGTGTGTGATCTTTGCCCGCACTCAGAATTCTCCGATGATAGCCTGGTAACTGTTACAATTTGGGACATACAAATAATCGATAATATTCGTAGTTCCGCTGCTACTTTCAAAACAAACCTTGTCCGAGGTCTGGTAACTGTGCGTTCACACCAAACACTCGGACGAGCGACTGTCTTTCTAACCCTTACACAATTACTAACATGTAACTGCGCTGACAAGACAAACATACGGCTGATGTCGTTGCTTTAGTCTGAACGCATATGAGGGATAAGAGATTTGTTGGTACAATTGGTCGGTCGGCCGTCGTCGTTATCCTAGAGTACTAGAAGTGGAACGACTGTCGCTCATCTGAGAGTTTTGTGTGAACTCGCAGTTAGTCGGACCCATTAATAAAATTGTTTCAATTGCGCATTCGCGTCACGTGACATGGCATCTCCGTGTGAGTTCTTTCTGCATGTCGGGGTCAACTTAAGTTCATGTATTTCGGGACTTATTGGTTGGGGTGGGGAGGGGGGGTATAGACACTTGGACTAGGAGTGCTTGACGTGATGCTTCAGGACTTACAAAAAATAATGATAACTCGCACGCACGCACGCACACACACGCGCGCCCGCAAACAAAGACACTCAGGGGGCATACAGGCCAAGTAATTTATGGACACCCCTGGAAAAATTCTAAGTCAGCTTTGGCAGTCACCTTGGTGATTTGCTGTTGATCCCGATTTTTTCTCCCTGAGATCCTGATTTTCAGGTTTCATAGAGTGGCAGGTCTGGTGTATGCGACATTGAGACCACACGGTGAAAAAGGAAAAATTAATGTCAACGTCATGAAAGGAGCAAAGCAGTAACAGTGCACCTAGCTCTAGACCCCCCCCTCCCCTACGAAACTAAATATCCGCTAACCGTGTTCGTAGATAATGAGAGGCGCCCGGTTGCCGGTTACCGTGTACGTAGATATTGAGGCTACGCGCCCGGTTATCGTGTACATGACATTGAGACTACACGTCCAGTTGCCGGTTACCGTGTACGTAGACACTGAGGCTACCGTACGTGCCCGGTTACCGTGTACGTAGACACTGAAGCTACGTGCCCGGTTACCGTGTACGTAGACACTCCGTAAGCATTATATATACATAGACACTTCCCTCTTTCTTTGGTTGGTGCCATGTGGTTGGATTACTTACTTAGATGTACTCATGTGATTGGAGGGGTATCCTGGTCTGACGTAAAACAAGATGGGCGCCTTAGGCCTACCTAAAAACAGTTTGCATCTTTCTACGTTTAATCGCATGTGCGCTAGATCTAGATCTAGACGGCTCCGGATGGCAATTAGATCTAGATCTTGGTCTAGATTCTAGATCTAGTAGGCCAGAAATTAGGACCCATTCAACATTGTATTGTAGGCCTGTGATGTAAAGGGACATGACTCTTATCTTTGGCCACCTCTATTCTCACCCGGGGTGAGAATAGTGCAGGCGGGTCTTGTGGCTATTCTCACCCGGTGCGCGTGTCAACAAATTTTGCGTTCACCCTAAACCACAGAATTCTACACTGTGATAAGAGAAAAATTGTAGAATTCTGTGCTGTGAACAAACGTTCCATTACAACTGTACTTGTAGCCTACTAAAAGCGTACAATTTTGTCTGTGGGCAGGGGAGAGAGAGAGAGTGAGAGAGAGAACAAAACAAAATGGCGACCCGCGTAGTTCGGCTCGATTCGAAAAGTTAAATAGCCGTAGCATCTTTGTAGACAACCAAATTAATTTACTTTTGTGTTTTAACATCATTTTTTAACTTTGTTTTGGTCAATTTGATCGTCCACACCGATAGACAGTATTCAGAAAGAGACAGAGAGATCTAGTAGGCCAGAAATTAGGACCCATTCAACATTGTATTGTAGGCCTGTGATGTCAAGGGACATGACTCTTATCTTTACTGTGGGGACAAGATAATTAAGGGGAGTGGCACGCCCTTCATGACGTCAAGGGTCCGGCGCGAAATAGGCAGACATCGTCTGAGAGACTCATTGAGATATTCAGTCGAACTCAGGACCACGACGAGGCAACACTTATCTTGGACGGGGGCCCCCTGACAGATCCGACTCATCGGACCGACAGGTAACTTTACCTAACAAAACTTAGATCTAGATTCTAGATCTATAATTAAGGTGAAATACATGGGCAGACTCATTACCTGGATTTGAACCTTTTCCAAACGACCCAAACGTTGACCCCGAGCTTGATAATCCGCCACTGAACGTTTGTGATCTTCTTGCAGCTTCCCTGAATTTCTTAGTAGTCGGGTTGCTCGAAGCACTTTTTGGAAGTTTCTTTTTGTGTGTCATTTTGCCCTTACTTTTCGGGGCAGGTGCCTTCGGTCGAGCTTTCATGACTGCTTAAATAAATTCTAATTTGTTCAAACACGGCGTACACTTCGATTTTCAACCACAGCCTTCCTATGTCCAACTGCTCCTGTTGACTGTCAACACGTGCCGTCCATGTTTACGAACGAAACGAAATTCGCTGCACCGCTGCAGTTAATATTTTTTAATCACAGTTTTAGATCTCAAGTGCATATTCAGCAAGTCAATATTAGGCTTAGGTCTAGGTATTTACAGAGGATAACAAAAACTCAAAATATATTCAATTTATCAAAATTATTTTTTTCACATTTATTGTCAACCATTCAGAGTTTATGTGATGAAAATAGACGTAACTTTCGGTCAGAAGCTAGATGAAAATATACATTATTTCAATCCTTGGGAGTACAGCTTTTTAAATTTTGCACCGGAAGTCTGATGAATACAAAAGTAAAAGTAGAATAAGCCTAGAAGACAATGTAAACACATTTTCATTGAATTTTCAAAGATGTCGTTTGCTTTCAATTTCGAAGACCCAAATAGTGAATGCTCCGTCGAGGGCTCGCTGCGTGTTGAAAATGCTCATAAAAAAGGTGATGGAGATGCATTGTAACAGTACACGGTCCTCCTTAATATTTCTGGGTGATCTTATACTTTTTAGCCTTTAGCCTTTAGCTTTAAGGCAATTAAGGGTGATCTTGTAGTTCCGTTCGTTTTAAGTCCACGATCCATTTGTTTACATCCAGAGAAGAAATCCAGAAGTCTTGATGACCAAATACTATTTGAAATAGGCTGCACAAAGAGCAGGGATGCAATCTAACTGCAAAGCATCAAATTAGGGTAAAATTCAGGGGGGCATGCCCCCCCTGAACCCCCCCACCACCATATCTTTTTTAGGTCAGGGTCAGGGGGGGCAAGCCCCCCTGCAACCCCCCTACTCTTGACTTTAACGAACGAAACTACAAAATCGCCGCTTTAAGTTTAACTTTAGCACGTTAAATTCTTCAATTGATTTTATTCCCTTTTCTGTAAGGAGCGACCACTTTAATAAAACATGATCTATCTAGATCTATAATCTAGATATCTAGATCTAATCAAGATTATACTTACTGGCTTCCAAAATCACAATGGAAGACCGAAAACCACTGTTATACCATCTGTTCATGACAAATTTACGGTAGTTTGCGCATTTTTAGGCCCAGTTCAAAGTTTTGAAGGTCTGAGTGGAGTCGGGGAGGTAGACTGGGAATTTAACGTGCTATTTTAAAGTTATAAGCATAATGTCACTACAGTAGTCTGTAGTACTTTAGTAAAGTCACTTCACCGAGTGACGTGGTGACAGTGACAAGTGATGCTGATGTCAATTACCATCGAGTTAATTTGCGGTACTCTAAGGTATTGAATAAAAGAGGGAGGGCGGACAAGTGGTCAAAAATTAATGGTACTAGTTAAGAATGTGGGTCCCGTTTGGGGATAAGTTTTGACTCCACCGACAATTACTTCTGGCTCTAAGTCTTAGAAGTGATTACTTTTTGATGTGCTAGCCGATGGAAAGATTGCCTATCAAACCTAATTGCAAAACAAATTATTGTCAAATTCTTGGGGTCTCACTTGCCAAACGCGCATTGTCATGGCAATCGCAAATCACGATTTTTGGGGGAGGGTTGGGGCTGTTTGTCGAGGGACAGGGGACGGCTGTGGCTGTGCGAGTCATCGTGCCTACCTGATCAGCTACACCGTTCATAAATATGTATTGATGATATTGAAATCAGATCAACAAAGTTTTTAGGTATTATTGATGAAAGGTGTAATTGGCAAGACCATATTAGTTCTGTTAAAAATAAATATAATAGAAGTGTATGGTACGTACTGCGATTGTGCTAAAAGCTAGATCCTTACTTTCGAACATAAAACCTTAAATTTTAAATCTTTACCAGACATTGTTTTTGCCTTGAATTTAAACTATGTTCAACTATTTTTTTGTTTTTGTAAAGTGTTTTACGGCACTCGCAACTGCATACGGTCATATGAGCGCGCGGGACACACCTAAGATTTTCAGTTTTGATTTTTGCCCAGGTGGCGGCCGAAGCCTACTCTTATCGATTTTAGACCACCAAGGGATCTTTGACATGCGCAACTTGCACACGGGCCCTCCGAGATTTTTCGCCCTTGTCTGAAAAGGCTAGGTGTAGATCTTTCCTACCAAAAGATCAGGGGTGTGGCAGAAAGACAGCAGTAAGGAGAGCCGAGGAGTAGCAGTAGAAAGGCTTGCAGAAAGAATCAGGAGCTCAGAGGAGGGGGCAAAGGAGGTGAGGGGGTGGGGGCAGAAAGTGGAAATGAAAGCAGACAACAGAACATTGCTAGAGAGCAGGAAAGGAGGTGAAAGGAGACGATTTTAGAGAAGAAAATTTTTTGGTCGTTACCCGGATTCGAACCCGGGACCTTTGAATGAGAGGCCAACACCTTAACCTCGAGGCCACGAGAGCCCCTATATTCAACTATGGAACAGTTTGGACGAAGATTTAACGAAAAAAGCTTTAGGCTGATCCTTCAATACTCTACTTGAAGAGATAGGCCTATATAATAAGCGAAGTCATTTCGTCCCACACAATTGGGGTGTGACAAAATGACTGGCTACCAAATTTTAGTAAGCTTAAAGTTAACTGAGACAACTTTTCCCATTTAGGAACAAACCAGTTTCATAAGAAAATATAAACCAATATGTACAAATGTTTTTAAAATGCACAGAAAATTGAGGTAGCCAACCGGGTACCAGTACTAATACTGAGGGTTGCCTAATTTGCCATTTTTTGAAAAAAAGAAGTTTTATTCAGATATATCTAGATTCTATTTTAGTAGATATAACTATGATTATAATGTTTCACATGATCATCGGTCGTGGCAAACTGGACATAATAAACGGGGGGTATGGAATAAGGATCCGGGGGGGGGGGGGGGGGCCTAAAGAACTGAAAATTAATCTACTGGGGGGGGGGGGGGCGCTTGTTGGACACCTTAGAGTAAGAAGTTGCTGAAAAGATTGGCGTCTCCGCTCGGACACAGGACAATAAGAGTTAAAATCTTGGTCCATTGATGCAGATAGACTCTGTGGTAATTGACGTCAGCCTCAGCTGTCATCACGTCACTCTGTTGCAGTTGACGCTACCGTATTGTTTTACTTTCCCTCCCGTCTCACACTCTACTCTAGTTAAAGTTAGCTGGACTATTTTAACTAGTTATTAAATTGGCTGATGTTATTGTTAGGGGACCATACGCCCCCCTAGTGTTTGGCACTAGGTGGTCGTACGCACCCCAAGTGCTTGGCGCTAGAGGACGGTACGCCCTCATGGGGCTATTCTTAGGTGACCGTAAGCCCCCCCAAGTATTGGCGCAATGGGACGTACGCCCTCCTTGTGCTTAAAGGCTTGGTGACCATACGCAGAATTGCATGCATCTGGACTTTGACTTTGAAAAGATACTGGAGGAAAACGATTAGTTTAACGAAGCTCCTGGCTTTAGGAGTTAATACTAGATTTAAGAGAATGTTTAAAATGTCTGAATACGATTGTGGGATGCGAATCTAGGTGAAAGTGTTGATGTTTGGGTTCGTATCTATCCTATCTTATCAAATAAATTTACATGTATCTCTAAAGTGCCTTTACAATTGTGCAACTGCAGCAGAAGATTGTTAAGTGTACTATCAGTCTTGGTAGTGCATGAAATCTTGATGAAGGTGTACTGCTACCGACTATGTCTTTTTTTAGTTAGGTAGGACAATTTTTGATAAAAGTTTAATTGTAGGCCTACAAGATCTACGATGTACTAGTGTACTCTTTGAGGGTGTGTTACCCCTTTCAAAAATCAATTTCAACCCAATATGTTTTGTAATCAAATAGTATTTTGTCTTGCTGTTGGGTATCTACATGAGACTCCCCTTTCATTCTTTGCCATTCTGTGCTTACAATAGCTGAAAAGGAAAAGTAAGGAAAATTCTGCCGGGGGCAGGGGTCCAGGGGGCGAAGCCCCCGAAGAAATTGAAATTTAGTACTTTTAGAGGGTTGAAAATGGCATTTATGATTTGGGAGCCTATTTGAAAAGAATACCAACAGCCCATAACACCTATTTTGTTCATCAAGATTAATTATCGCTCACATTCAAAGTAGAGTATACTTAATTAAATGGCTCAAGTTGACCTATCAGTGTGAGTTGTTAAAACTGAGGGAGGGCCGGAAACAAACTCTTATTACGCTGAAGTTACAAATGACTTCAAAATACGGTCAAGGGGGCGTACGGATGATAATATTGATGTGCTGAACACAAATTATATCAACTTAATCTCCATTGCTAAATAATTGTTAGTTTTTAAAATATTTGATCATTGTTAATCGAATTACAGTCGAACCAGTGTAAGACGCTACCCATTGTCAAGGAGAAAAGGGGCCTCATAAGACAGGTCGCTGTCTTAGGCAGGACTGATCAAGATAAAGAAAGCAAACCCTTCCTTTCTGAGGTCGCCACATTGTTGTCATTGTTATTGTTATATATAGTTGTTGCTTTCGCTGGGGGGGGGGGGGGGTTCTTCTTTTTATTTAGTTTGTTGCTAATTTTTTACAAGGGTGACAATAGAACGAAATGTGTCAGACCAGGAGGACCGGTTGCTTTTTATGGTAAAACAAACACGTGGGTCACCACCACTCGGAGAACGGGCGACACTTTTGTCACAAGTTCATGTTGACGTCCATTGTTACTTTGTGACAGACTGGGTAAACAGTGATCACTCGTCTCAGTTACGTTTTGTGTATGAGTTGTGGGCGGGGCTTGTGGGTTATGAGGGATCACACGCTTAACTCACCAGCAGCTGAAAATTTGTTACCTATTGGTCAACAGTGGGAGGAGCCTATGCAACATGATCAGTTGGAGGGACTACCTAACAACGACAGGTGATTGGATTATGACGGCTCGCCCACAACGCCAGGAGCCAATGCATGATTTATGAAAAAACGTAATGGAGTCCCTAAGACGGGGGTTATTGTTTAGTGTGATAGGTGTTGTGTGTTAAAATATGGTGGCCGCGTTGGACAGGTGCCCGTTTCACACAGTTAAATTATATATAAAAAACGCAAGGGGGGGGGAATGGAAAGTGGCCGTTTGTACAGGTGGCCGTCATGGCGGGTTTGACTGTAGTTCTATATCACACTAAACCTAATTGCGTTGTAATTTCTGCGCCTTGGCCCAATCGGGCAGGGGGTTTCAGGTGGTTTGACCCCATCCAAAGCAGTGCATTGTGTGGGAATGAAAGTAAAAATTTACCATATTTCCAAACTGTGATACTTTCTAAGACTTTTGCTTCATTTTTTGTGATCCAATACCAATATTATCGTTCTGTCTTGTTAATTTCAATTCTTTTACAGTAGTCTCCGCCTAAACGCATGCCATACAAAAGCACGCTCCGCTCACACGCACGCTTTCATCATCTGACTGGTTTTTTACTTTATAATTTAGACGTACAAACGCACGGTCACTCATTCTAAACACACGCTCAGATCTGCGAAACACGCTAACAGATAAAGCTTGACTAAGGGAAATTTTCACTACGACTGCTGTACGATCTGCATAGCTAGCCTAGAAAACGGATATTTGGTGAGACTGCCCCTTATGCTGAACAAAGAGAGTGATGGACAGCGTTATCACATCCAACTTTCCACTGACACATAGGTCCTCGACTGGTTGGTGAAATGTTCGGGGGTTGGGGGACTGAAACGTTATTTGATTGGTCACTGGAAATGCATCTCTTTGAGAGAAGGTTTCTGACTGGTGTTTGAGTGACTGCGTGTTAACTAATGTTTAGTTAGACCGAAGCCTATGATGCACAACGCGCGAGAATGCTCGTTCATGAATTTACGGTCGGGGATGGTCGCTTGGATAGCCACGTGGCTTGCCGGTCGTCTCTATGACTATCACAATTTCTTTTTAGGCTATCTGTTCCCGACTTTTTATGGCGCATTCATTGCTTCAAGTCTGTCTTTCTGCGGCCCAAAGTGACCCCCACCCCCAAGGGAGGTCACTAGAATATCAAGGCCATGAGATGACTGCGTCCCTTCCTCCCTATGCAAAGGTTCATGTAAATGCACGCTTCGTATAAACACATGCTACGGAGCCATCCCGAGCACCGTGCGTTTAAGCGGAGACTACTGTATACAGTTAAGTAATTTAATGTAACACAAGTTCCGATAATCAATCGCCTCAATCAGGACAGAAAAGCGATCATTTTCATCTATAGCCATAGACTACTGTAACCGCCCCCTCTTTTTTTAAATAATAATAATGAGATGGGGAAACCACTGAGATTTGAGGTATGTGTGTGTGTGTGTGCCAAAAAAAAAGGTACCAAAAGTTGGATTTTAACCATTTTGAGTTAAGGGTTGTACCTAATAGAACATTCAATGCTGAGCACAGTGGTTTTTGAATTTCCAATATATCTCAAGTAGATTTTTGAGATATTGCACATTTTGCGAGGTAGGGTATAAAGATCTAATTTTGAGAAAATTAGCTTTTAAGTTTAGAACACAACTTTAAAAAAGCAATGATTCAATTGTTTCTAATGTATTTTTACTCAAATTTCATTTCCAATTCAATGTTCAGTTGACACCAATATCGTGAATAGAATTCAATGGTAAAACATAGCGGGAAAGAGAAAATGTGCTTCAAGAATAGATTTTAAAACCTTTTAAAAGCAGTTTTCATTATCTTTTTAAAACATACCCTACCCTCAAAATAATTCAAAATAAAATATTTAGAAGTCAAATCAATGAGAACTCTTTTAACGCATTGTTAAAAAATGGTGGAACTATCATTCTTTAAATATAAATTGAAACACATTTTTGTCAAAAAAGTAATTTTTTATCATTATCAGCCTGTAGCTCAAAATGGTCTGCGGCGACTTTTGGTACCTTTCTTTAGGTACGCACGCTTATTATAATTTGTTTAATCTAGACCTACATAACAGGATAAGCCTTTGTCACATAGGCTGAATCTTGACTTCACAGTTGTTTTCGTTATCTACGTTTAGAACACTGTTGCTTGTAAATTGTGAAGGAATCAGAAAAGGATATAGGGTTAGGCATGTGATGTGTGGCAACGTCATAACAAGACTAATTAATAGCTATCATTGTGATTCACTCTCAGCTATGAGATACAGGGGTCGTTTTTCTTTTGTTCTCTCTTCACGATTTCCACACTTTGTTAATCTGTTGATACAGAAACAAAAAGGTCTTACTCAACATTGCAATACCAGGTGCCCGTTAGCGGGATTGAGTCAATTTATGGCAGCTTCAGTGCTCACCCCCTTGTTGTGTCAAATCTGACAAGAATAGAAAACTTCGACTGATGTGTGTGTTGCTATTTTATCCAAAACTTACTGTTCAGAAACCCATTTCTTTCCATAAATGGCTTCAAGTGCTGACTACCACATATTGCGGTTGCTGTGTTGAGAGGTTCTTGATTCCTGCAGACATGGGGGGGGGGGGGGGGGGGATGTAATAGCTTTCTAAATATTAGTATTGATCCTTTACAAATCTACATTTTCCAATACCACATTCTGCACAGGCAAACAAAAAATAATGACCCTGACCTTGTGGACTGGTAGATTACAAGCCTTATGATTTGCAGTAAACATCTGATTGTTCATTTCATAGCCTTGAAAAACTATGTTGTTTTTTTTTAAAGTCACATCAGTCACAATCGAATTCGGTCGTATTGTGCCACAATGGTAGCTTTTGCCCCTCCATGAATAAAATCTGGCCAGCCCCAACTCAATTCGACTGAATTGGATTAGCCGTGCGCACTTGCCATATGGTTTCCTTGGTGTGTTTTTTCTCATTCATTTACCCTGAATAGGAAATTCAACCTTTAGGTTTTTTTAATGTGTCAAAGTCAAAAGTAATAAAATTTTACGTATACTTTTTGTGTGTTCCTTTTTTTTCACAGACCAAGAAAGTCTCTCAGATCATGGCAGCCAGACTAAAAGGAAACCCACGGTTGAAATGAAAGAGTTTTATGGGGAGGAAATTGTTAAAAAGGTATAATTGTTTTTAAATTTTGCAATGAGTTTTTGTTTGAAATTTTTAAAGAGAATAGAATTCTGGCAAACAGGATGACATTGATCCATTCAGAGGGAAAAAAGAGTTTGTGTCCGTCGGTAAGTTGTCATTTTTCTTTTGTTTATGGTGAAATGGAGGAAGACCAGAACTGGACTATCAAAAAAGTAATTAACTTGAAAGTCTTATAATTAATTGTACATCCCTCAGTCAATTATTTCATTCAGTCTCGCAGCTTTTTATTTTTAATTATACTTTTCAGAGATGTCACAATCAGGAAAGCGCTTGTCCCTCTAAAAGAAAACCCAATTCTAGTTATAAAACATTGTCAAAATTTCTGTTTCGTTTATAAATTTGAATCTTTTACTACTTGAAATACTTATTTAGAGTCTGTTTTGGCAATGGTAATGATCTTTGAGTATTCATGTCAGTCCCAGCGATAGCCAGGACCGACTGTACACAACTCTGGTAATTTATTTCACAGCTAACCCTGAAGTCACTTGAATTTGGTGACTGCATGCTCAGAATTGTTGACACCAGTTGCCTGGAACAGATGGTTCTTAATGACAAAGAACTACAGAAACTTTTGGACACTTCTCATGTCTTACAGGCTGTTTGCTCCCATAGTGATCTTGTCTCTGGCTCCTATGAAGGTAATATTATATTTTAAATGGAGGTGAATATGACCTTGTGTTTCTAATGTCGTTCGATTACTGTCATGTAATAAAGGGAAAACTTTATGTTATGCTGTAGTGGGTAAGTTCCCTGAATTCCGCTCTTGATGTAAAGTGAACACTGTATAATCTAAAAATATAAATCTTTTAATTATTGTATTGGATTCAACTTGATGCTCAGGTGTGAAGATGTTGATATATATATATATAATATAATATATATACATACAGTGTGTGTATTGGCAAGTTTGAAAAAAATATGTATTACAATGTATTTTGTAATCTGCTCATGATTACTGTTACAACCTCATTGCAGAAGGAAAAAAGTAATTTTTCGTTGTGTTATAATGTCTTTACTACATGATGCACCTGAATTTTTCACTCCACATTCTTTCTTCATTTGTTTCAGGAGGTTTAAAGATATGGGAGTGTGCCTTTGATCTCACAGAGTTTTTAAGTACAAAACTGCAAGGATTGTCCCTTGGCATAAAAGATAAATCAGTGCTAGAAGTAAGCCTTGTTTTGAAAGTTGTTGTCTTTTCATCTGATCGACCATGGTCATTGCCAGAGAGCTGTTTGAATGCAACAGGCAAACAAATTCAGTTTATGGCACTGTTAACCTCATGTTCAGTGAATTTGTCATATCTGATGTTCAATTTCTCTGAGTCAATGATTTAGGTGTAAGCAAAATCAAACAAACATAATTTTAGATACAACAGTTCTTCGGTAATATCCAGCGTTAATTCCTTTATTGCATCAAGTCCTATACTTTGTGCCAGTTTTGGCTTCTTTAATTGAATGTAGTTTAGTTGTGTATGAGTTTTATTTTCCAAATACCATTAGGCATGTGTAAGACTTATTATTATTAGACTGCAGCAAGATCTTATTTTAAATATACTGGACATACCATAATGTCCTGTCAAATGAAAAATTCTTAAAACTTGTTGAGTCATTCTCTCAAAAGAGAGGAGAAATTTCTCACTATGCTTGTTGACAAGTGCATTTTCCCTCACAAGATTAGTACATTGGTAATCAAGAGTGTGAAATCAGAAATTACCTGGGAGGGAAAAAGTGCACAATGAAGCATCATTAGTGCTACTTGTAGGTCGGAGGTAATTACTACATTTTAAAAAGCACCTTCATTTCTCATAAAAACAGTTTAATAACCCGTAGAGAAAACTCAAAAGGCAATGATGTACTTGTGTAATACCTCAAGAGGCCAAGACAGCAAGATACACGTTTTGGCACCTCAGACCTTCCCACAGTCATTGTCTCTATCTCTGTTCACTGCATGAGAATAGTATTTATGACAGTAGCACACACTAAACTTGTACACCTCTGCTGTTCATCTAAGCCCTTGAAACTTTTGACCTGCTGTCCACAGTGAAAGAAGACTTTAGATTGTTCGTACAAAATGACTCTGTGTGTCTGGTACATCATCACAAAGTAAAATATACATGTACATGTTTCAGATGTGGGATCCACATTTAGGCACATCATCAGATGCTTAGACATATCAGATTGGAATGTTTGCAGGCAAAATATTTTATTGGTTCGGAGGCTAATGATTTTAATGGGAATTCCTTTTCCTTTCTGTGAGTCCAATATTTCTTTGACTCTAATTAACAAATACAAGGTCACTGTACCACTAAGTCTAGCAACATTAAGTCATTCCATGTTATCAGTCAGATTGTATCTTGTCTAATGTCAATTTCTGGCAAAATATTAATTTTTTATATATTATTTATTTTTTATCATGAAGATCAATGTTGTTTTGATTATTTATTTTTTCACAGAATTTTTCTAAATCAATCTACCCATAGTGACAAAGAACAATTCATTAAATCAAAGGAACAATCACATGTTTCCAATTGTTTTGTTTCAGCTTGGCTGTGGAGCTGGATTGCCAGCTTTGTTCTGTCTGAAAAGTGGTGCAAAACAAGTGCATTTTCAAGACTATGTAAGCAGTTAGTGTTTCTGTATGTAGTTCTCTAGAGTTTTGTCACATACAGTGATAATTTATCCTTTACGTTTCTTCACTGTAAATGACTTTCAGGAGGCACATGTGTGACCTTTTTGCCTATGCAATATAGTCTAAGGTATTTTGTAGGGTTTGGTTCAGTTATAAAGTGGAATGTCCTTCTCTTAGCTATTTTTTGGTCTCTTAGAAGTAGAAGGTGAAGCATTTGACCCCATGGGGAAAAAAGGAGAGAGGAGGAAAACTCAGCAGAGGAGAACTTCAAAGCAAATCACTTCGTGCTGGTGTTCAGTAGATCTATTTATTATGCCCTAACACAATTGGACATGGTAAGACTTCCTCATAACCTTTTAAGAAGGAAAATGGTAAATGAATTTAATTGGGCCTATATTCTCATGTTCTGTTTAATGCTTTATAATTATTTGCTGTTTTAGTTGAAGCGAGTCTTAAATATTAACGTCATTATGTACATTCAAAATAAAATCTTTTTTTTTAATACTCACTGTGAAGATTATTACTTACTGATAGATGAATACCAATACTAATCTCATCAGATTCAACTCTATCAACAACACTACCAACTTGAAGCTGTCTAACAGGTCCTGAAAGGCTGAATAACAAGTAGAAATGTTTCTGTGTGGTGGTACTCTAATAAATTCATAATTTTTTCTGTACACATTTTGAGCAGAATGAAGAAGTCCTCAAACTGCTGACGTGTGTCAATGTGAGACTGAGCACAGAGAATACTGACCTTGAGGAACGGTGCAGATACTTTGCTGGAGACTGGTCTTCATTTTCTGATTTGTCTGACAGAGAAAAGTTGAAGTTAGTGTTTGTAAGGGTAAAGAAGTTGTGCACTCCTTAATTATTACCCAGTGCTGTTCACTGTCTTGTAAAAAGATCTATAAGTTTATGATTTGCTCTATAGTAGGGACAAAATGTTTGTTTTTGTTCAGTTTCTTTATACAATGACTCCTGAATTTGAAATTTTTATTTAACTTAATGGCAACCATATTATATTAAATTATTCTCTGCATTCCTACATGATTCAAGACAGAGAATTACCCAGGTGTCACGTTAATATTTGTATCTTGATTTTGACAGTAAGGTGGGTTGTTCTTTTTACTTTATCAACAATGTGCAATGCAGTCGACTGCGGATGAGTCAATGTCGTCTGGGGAATGAAATAGAGATCAACTTCTCTGAAGTTCAACTTGACCGTTGAGACCTCAAAACCAAGGGACATAACAAGATCTTTTTCCCTGCTCATAATTTGAATTCTAAATCTAGTAAGCAACTGTGGTAAAAATGGTGACGACAGGAAAGTTTACCGAGCAATATTTGTTCATTCCTTCAGCTGAGTATTTATTTTTATTCGAAGTTTTACTATATTGTTCATGGCCTTGCCGTGTACCATTTCCTTTGGCCTTCAGGGGAGAGGAAGCAACAACGGGCGTGGTTATTGCGACGTAGTGTCAAACACATGCACGCCCTCTCTTGCTCTCCCTTCACTGTTTCATTAAGATAATATGTAAGCCTATTATGGCTGCTTGATCAGCTCTACAATATAATTGTTCTTTTACTTTAAGTTTCTCTTGTGTCAAAACTGCTGTGAAGCATCTGACATTACACGGAGGGGGTGGGGGGGGAAACAATTCAACCTTTGCATACTTGCAGTTGGAGGTAAAAAAAGCACTTCAACTCATACATTTTTAAAGTTATGCTGAACTGAACTTAACCACTTGACTTGAACAAATGTAAAGAACTAGAGGGGCTGGAACCTGACAAAAAGATCAACTTAACTGATGATCAATTCAAGCAAGTTCACCAAAAGTAGGGTCGACTGTAATTGTGTTCATGAATTTATTTGAAAATGTTTTACTGACTGTTTTCATGTTATTGTATCACACCTCTCTTATCCAGTCTTTTTGTTGTTTTTTTCTTTTGGTAGTGAACTGTTTTAAGAGAGAATGTAGACTTCTTATAACTGATGGAGATTGTGTTTCTGTAGAGCAGTATTTTATTGGCTTCTCTGTTGATGGGATTTTTACAACAATACTTTAGACTGCTTTAAGTCAGGGCTGTCTAGTATTTTCAAATAATTTTTATCATACATTAATGTATGAATGCTATCTTTGTAATCTTCTCATTTTCAGATATGACATCATTCTCACAGCTGAAACCATCTACAATGAGGAAAATTACTCAAAACTTCATGCTTTGTTTGATGCTGTGCTCAAAGAAAATGGTTTCATGTATCCTTATTTAAGTGGGTGGTTGGCGGGTGCTCTGGTGTGGTTTGCTTCTTCTTTCCTGTCAAACATGTAGGCTATCGTCTTTATCTCCCCTCCTTCTTTTTTTTGTTTGTTATTTTCTTGTAACACCTCTAATCTTCGGCACTTATGTGACCTTATTCTTTTGCAAGTGCTGTAAAACTATTACTAAAACTAATCTTTATTTTAAATTCCAATGAAGAAAAGCTGCATGGTACACCTGAAGATATTTTGGATAGACAGCAGTGTTTTACTATTTTGTTTCACATCCATCCTCCCCTTTGAAAAGCATTATACAGGCAAGTAACAAGGATACCAATAATGCCCATGGAATGGGGAAAAAATAGGAAAGCAAAGATGAAAGTGAAACACAATGGATATATATTTAAAACATGAATATAATGTAAATGTATATGACATGATTATTATTGTCTAAAATACATCAGTGCACTTTTGCAATGTAAAGGGCGTGAGTATAAGTCATGTCTTCATGTTACGTAACACTGATAATTATGACAGGGATAGTTGAATTGCTCAATGCCCTTAGAGTCCATTGTGAATCACATGTTGAATTAGTTAGTCGAAACTACAGAAAAAAACGCTGGGGGGAGGGGGGGGTTCCTAGAGGTCCCTCCAGTCTTACCATTATTGCAGTTGGTGGGGAGCAAATCAGATCACAAGCTTTTATAAATCATACGGTTTTTTGTAAATTATAATCTTTCTTAGTTTCTTTTCATTTTGTCTTACTTGTCTTACTTTTCCTGGGCAACAACTTCATTGCACACCGGACAGGTCCATAAGTGCTCAGTTCCTCTCAGCACTAAAGCCCACAGGGTATCCATACTAATTGTTTCAGTGGCTGTTTTCATTTAGTGATGCTCTGTAATAGGTCTTCATAGTTTTTCTCATTGTCCTACTCAACACTTTTCCTTAGCTTTGTTTCACAGACTTCTTGCTGCAAAATCGTATTATTTTGGAGTTGGAGGGAGTATTGAAGGGTTCCTGGAATATGTTGGCAGTATGGGCATGTTCTCGTCAGAGACTGTGCATACTGTTGCTAAAGGTAATGTTGTTTTCTTAATTTTGTGATACAATAACCATTTATAATAGGCGTTTACTTTACTTTTTGATTGTCTACAAATTTGATTTGACCTTTAGGGAGGTACATGTACAGCAATGAAACTGAAATCCGTTTCTTTAACCTGATCATCAGTACAGTTTTTGTTCTGTTTTACTGGAAAAACAAAAAACACCTTCCTCCACGCCACGTTCTCTCTCTCTCTCTCTC